TACCTACCTACCTACCTACTCTGTCTCTCCCTACCTACCTACTGTATTTCTCTCTCTCCCTCAATCTACCTACCTACCTACCTACTCTCTCTCTCCCTACCTACCTACTGTATTTCTCTCTCTCCCTCAATCTACCTACCTACCTACCTACCTACCTACCTACTCTCTCCCTCTCCCTACCTACCTACTGTATTTCTCTCTCTCTCTCTCTCTCTCTCTCTACCCCTCTATCTAACTACCTACTCTCTACCTCTCCCTACCTACCTACTGTATTTCTCTCTCTCTCCCTCTATCTACCTACCTACTTTTTAAAAAAATTGCCTCTTCAAAACCTTGGTGCGTCTTATACTCTGGTGCGTCTTATACTCTAAAAAATATGGTATTCCCTATCAATCACCTAACCACTTCAGAGGACTTGTTTTTTATTGGCTAATTTTTTGCATTCCGTTCCCATTCTCATTTAGCATTCATTTGTTTTTACCCCATTCCTTCATGTTACAGTGTATAACTTCTTCCTTATTCCATTACGTTCAATATAACTTTTCTTTCCTGACATTCCTTGCTCTTCTACATAACAAAGCAGGCAGAAGCAGGATCTCCTTCATACCCAATTCAACTTATTTTGACAAATATTCATTCCTTGTAATAGACCATACTATTTAACAGCTTTCTACAGCAGTTGCATTTCTTAAAATTTCTTAATGTTCCCATTTGTTTAAAACATTCTGCCAACTCTCATTTACTTACTTCCATTTCTATGACAAAATAATTATATCATTTGATATGCTAATTTTCATAGCTGTACACTGCATTGCATCCCAAATTCCACATAACATATCTAGGGGATCTGTACAATGCTATGTGCGTGTATGTGTGTGTATAGTGTGTATATTCATGTGTGCCCTATACTTTTTGCTTTTTTACTTTTACTTCCATCATGTATCACTTTACCTGCTACATCCAGAATTAGTGCAAAACACAACCCAATTCTATATTTTATGTTTTCACTAAGTAAAGAATAATAGATTTTCTTTCTCAAATTTGTATTATTTCTCAATGAGAATTGACTCAAATATTCAGCAATAAAGATAAGAAATACAAATAATTTAGGAATGTATAGTTATTTTCAAACACTATTTTGGAAAAATGTACAGTCCAGCAAATAAACAAACAAACAAACAAACTCATGTTCCATTATAGGACTTTGTTGTTCCATTGTAGGACTTGCATATTAGCACATTGGGTATGCAATAGAAATGTAAAGTGTATGGCTAATGTTATTTTCAATATACTTTTCCTCCCCATCACCTGCATTGTGCTCACTAGTGAAAATATCATAATTTATCAAACTTAAATTGTCAGACCTGGAAGCCATTTTTATATGCATTTTACATAATCTTCTTTTTTGTTGTTTGGTTATTACAGTCATATTGCCTCTATGCTGTCAAGTCAAGATCTTAAGATAGTCGTTGGAGCCCTTCAGATGGCAGAAATTTTAATGCAAAAATTACCTGACATTTTTAGTGTTTACTTCAGGAGAGAAGGTAATGCTAACTTTTGACTGGATTCTGGTATTTGGTATATGCAAAGGTAATAATAAGGTAATAATCAACTAGTTGTCAGCCCTTGGGCTGCCATTCATTCCTGGTAGCGTCTCTCCAGTATAAATTTAGTATTGTAGAACAATGAAAATTAAACTTCATGCTGTGTGATTCTTAGACTGTAAGGACTTGATGGAGCTTCCTATAATGATATGTGAGAATTACCTTTGGAGTTTGGAAGAAAACCCACATTGTAGACAATGGTCCGATGAAAAGCAATTTAGTCCATACTCTCCCTAGTTTTCCAGACACTAAAAAAGGAGATGAGGGGATAAGTACTTTTATTCTAACAAGATTGTTAATGTAACCTTATAGTAAAATTGGATTAGTTCAACCATGTGTGGTTTTTGTCTCTCTTACAAGGCTGAGGTCCCCTCAATCCTTCTAATGAACTTTAGTGCTACACCAGTTCTAGCACTAACGTTTAGTAGCAGCAATAGCAATAGCAGTTAGACTTACATACCGCTTCATAGGGCTTTCAGCCCTCTCTAAGCGGTTTACAGAGTCAGCATATTGCTCCCACAGTCTGGGTCCTCATTTCACCCACCTCAGAAGGATGAAAGGCTGAGTCAACCTTGAGCCGGTGAGATTTGAACCGCCGAACTGCAGATAGCAGTCAACTGAAGTGGCCTGCAGTACTGCACTTTAACCACTGTGCCACCTTGGCTCTAGTGCAACTCTTCTGGCCACAGAAAGGTTTTGGGGCCGAGTGAGCTGTCTTAGTCTCCTAGCTGCAGCAGCAGTTTCAAGAAGGAGCAGTTGCATACAAGAGGGGCAACCTGAAGACAAGTTGCTATCTGTTTCTTTTGAGTGCTCTTGAATCAGTTATGATTCTGATGACTTCTTGGACAGTTCTATGCAGTTTTCTTGGTGGTTTGCAATTATTTCTTTCAGGTTAATTTTTGATTTCCTGTCAAGGGCTGATAAAGATGGTAAAACATCACCCAGCTGGCTTCCATGCCTAAAGGAGATTAGAATCTGGGCTTCTCCAGTTTCAGTCCAGCACATTAACCATGATACCATGTTACCCCTCATCATATGTTTAAGATTGTGCAAAATGTTTCAAAATCAAAGTAATTTTCCTGTTTTGAATTCATAATAATTTGTTTTGAATTTAAAACAATATTTCAGCCATCTTGAAAGTGTTTGGAGCTTGAACCAAAACCCAAATGAACAAGACAGTCTGTACTTACACAGACCAGATGTTGGTCCAAACAGGATATTTTAAATTTTAAATGGTTTGAAATCCAAGCATTTTGGATACCGTCACCCTCATTGACATGTCTTTTCTCTGCATTCCCTATTATATCTTCTCTTTCTTCTTCCTACTTCTAAGCAAATTTGAAATGTAGATTTTTAATATGGAAAAATGGTTGCTTGTTTCTGAGTCTATTCAGCAAGAAACATCTGAACTTTTATTTACGAGAAGAAATTGTTTTCTTGTTTTGGTTAGTTGTCAAATAGTGGTTGAATAAGTTCATTTTTTCCATTTACTTGTTTTTGTTGGCGGATAAACTTGATTTAAGTATTTTATATTATATTTTATTGTACCACTGTTTGCATGTAGGATAACTTTGGAATACTTGTGATCATTAGCCTATACAAGACTGGGCATCATGATCTTTGAGTGCACATGCAACATTTATTTTTTAAAGTAATTATTAAACCATGTTGTTTCTATCCAATTCTTTAAAGTAAAATTTTAATCTAATGAGCTATAAATCTGTCACCTTTTTCAGGAGTTATGCACCAGGTGAAGAATTTAGCAGAATCAGAGGCTTTACTGACAAGTCCCCCCAAGGCTTGCACTAATGGCTCAGGAACACTTAGTGCTACTACAACAGTAAGCACTGGAACAGCCACTACTGCTAGCAATGCTGCTTCAGACTTAGGTTCTCCAAGCTTACAGCATACCAGGGAAGACTCTTTGGACCTGAGTCCACAGGGGTGAGTTAACATGACTGGGTCTCCAAATCAGATATCCTCCTAAGGTATCTTATCAACTGGTTCAAGATTTTCTATTCTTTATTTGCATATAAAGAAAATTGGAGTGAAGAACATGATTCAGTATTTAATGAGTGAGTTTTAAAAGTCAACATAATTGGATGTTAGTATTGTTGTAATAATTTTGGACTTTCTCCAACATGCATTTGTTTTTTAAAGTCTGCATTTTTGTTCTAGCTGTCTTTGATCTTTTAAAATATATCAGCAGCTGATATTCAATGAATTATTTGCCAACCTGTCTCAACCTGTTTTTTAAGCCATACAAAATGAAAAGTAGTATAAATCACCTGAGTATCAAGGCAGATATTTGCCTTCTAAACAATGCTTAAATGTTAAAATGTTAGCTGCTGATAAGTATATCTAGTAGGATCATTTAAAATCCATATGTATTTAAACTGATATTTGTTGAAATGTGAAGCCATATTAATAAGCCTGATATATAATGTGTTTTGATTCAATAGCCGACTAAGTGATGTTTTGAAGAGAAAAAGATTGCCAAAACGTGGACCCCGAAGGCCAAAATATTCACCTCCCAGAGATGAGGACAAAGTAGACAATCAAGGTAAGTTTTGTCAAAACAGATATTGTAAATTATTAAAATAAATTGAGATCTAGGTTTCTTCCAGCCACATTGTTTAGGTAGTATTGTCCTAGCCAACAAAACCATCTCAAGTGAAACTGCTGGGATAACCCACTTATGAAAAGCCTTTCAGTGACATTAAGGTTTCCCCCTTCTTGACAATACAAACTGTTTCATAAGGCTTCTCTTCAATGTATAGATGCCATCAGGGTTTTTTATATCTAAATATTTTTTGAAATATTTAATTTTTAAATATGCCATGGATATTCTAATCCTGCATTTAAGTCCTGTTACCTTAGATGCCTTATTATTTCTTATCATAGCTTGTGATAAGAAATATCATACTTTTTGCTTTTGCTGTAAACTGCTGTGAGTCCCTTCATTGAAACCAACAGTATACATATTTAAGTGAATGGACAAGCAAGCAGTTAAATATTGGTTACATGACATGAAATAAGAAGAATGTGGAACATCCTGTCTTATTCTTAAATATCTGTATGCTAGTTATTATTTATTTGCAGATACCTTGATTTGCTTGGGAGGGAAAAAAAGAGTAATTGTGGCATTTGGGTGACCCAAAGTATTATGGTAATAGGAGAAACCAACAGCAAATTTCTAATATTAAAAAAATCCCTTTCTAAATGCAAATACACAGTATTTTTAAAAAACCAGATTGATGTCTTGTTTCAGGCTGAGCATCCAACAACAGTTTGATTTAGAAAAGGTTTAATGATGAGTAGTAGTGCAGGGAATTACAAAAAAATAACTGTTCAGATGCATGCTTGCCCTGGAAAACACAGGGAAATAAAAGTCTTTCTTTATAGCTAGGCAAAGTGCAAATGGTTTAGAGTTAAGTCCAGAGTCAAACTGTAGGGCATTGATAGAATATAGGTAGTCCTTTATTTACAACAGCTCATTTAGTGACCGTTGGAAGTTACAAACTGTTGCAGCATCCCCATGTTCATGTGATCAAAATTCAGATGCTTGGCAGCTGACTCATATTTATGACCATTGCAGTGTTCTGGGCTCATGTGATTACCTTTTGCAAGCTTCTGACAAGCAAAGTCAATGGGAAAGCCACATTCATTTAACAACTCTGTCACTAATTAAAACAATTGCAGTGATTCACTTAACAACTGTGGCAAGAAATGTCATAAAATGGGGCAAAATGTACTTAACTGTCTCAGCAACATAAATTTTGGGCTCAATTGTGCTTTGTAAGTCAAGGAATACTTGTATAAATTTTGGAAAAGAAGCTGCAACAGCAGAGAGAGAGGGGGGAGGAAAGGGAGAGAAGGAGGCAAATTTTCACTGCAATCCGTAAATCAAACATGAGAGTGATAGTCAGATAGTCAGAGCTATAAAACAGAGCAGGATATAGGAATGCAGATCCTAGGGGATGAGTTGTTTCCAGCAGAGGGGCAATTATTGGCAGCTATTCTTAAATAGGCCAGTTGGATGAATAGCTCAATTATAAGCATTTGGGTGTTTCTTGTGGAACTGAGCAGCACAGATATATCTGGACTTGGATATGCTGCCAGAAACTGATTTATTGCTCTCACCTAGCTCTCCTCCCCTGCTCCTGGGGATTTCCTGCCCCAGGTAATTGATACTGAGTGGGATCTGATAGTTGACTGTCAGCACCAAGATTTAGCAGACACCCAAACGTCAGGCCTCTCAGTATCTTGACAGTCTTGACAGTTGGTACATATACAAAGAACTGTTAAAGTGGTATATGCCTGCAATATGGGTATGTAAAGCATGAAGAATACATGTCCTCATTTTAAAAGTGCATTTGGTAATATGATACTATCTTTAATTCACTTAGCAGCTGTGGCTGCTTACAGCTTGCTGTGGGTTGAATCACATACAGAGTATTAAAAAAACACAAATGTTGGTAGCTCTTAATCTAGAACAATCTTAAAATAATTGCAAATGTATTCATCTTATGTAAGTTCCTTTAAACTTAAAGTGTGTTACCATTTTCCATTATTTTCTAAAAGCAAAAAGCCCTACTGCTACGCAATCTCCCAAATCTTCCTTCTTGGCAAGTTTGAATCCTAAAACGTGGGGAAGATTAAGCACACAGTCGAACAGCAACAACATTGAACCAGCACGTACAGCTGGTGTGAGTGGTCTGGCAAGAGTTGCTTCAAAAGATACAATATCCAACAACAGGTACCCCTCACAAAAAATGGAAATCAGCTTTGTTATATAAAAGACAATTCTATACAATGTTCAATATGCTTTTTTACTTTTATTTTTTAAATGTATTGATTGGTCTGTAGCAACTAAGCTTCTAACCATTAGTGACAGAAGATCCTGAAGAGCATGATGGGTCAGAAATGTTATCCAATAGTTAGATGATGGAAATTATCAAGGAATGGGAGTATATGTATGAAAAATCAAAGAACAAATCATTCAAGCTAAAACCAAGATAAATAAGTAGTACAAGACTTTTATGTTACTATAAAAAGAAAAGGAATGTTGAAGAAACTAGTCAGTCAGAAATAAGCAGAGATTACTGGTGGAAGAAAAAAATAGTTTTCATTCTCTCTGCAATGATGTGATTTATTTATGTTATAAATGTATATTCAAAGAGTTGTTCAGAGAATGTGTGTAATACAAAGGTGGTAATGTATTAAATTGTGCATCTCTTGTAGAGAGAAAATTAAGAGTTGGATTAAAGAGCAAGCTCACAAATTTGTGGAACGTTATTTTAGTTCGGAAAATATGGATGGAAGTAACCCTGCACTAAATGTGTTACAGAGACTTTGCACTGCAACTGAACAACTCAACCTTCAGGTTAGGATACCTTTTTCATCTGCCTTTGAATAAAAGAGTAACTTTTATGGGACAGTAATTAAGCACTTTGCTGCTTAAACTATATATCTCTCTTCTTGCTTAAGTAATTTTTTTTAATGCACATAGCTTTGCTTTGGAAAAGATAGATTTTAAAGCTTGGTGGTGCTCAAGGGTTATAAGTTTTTCTTGCTTGTAGTTTTTTTTGCTGAAGAAAAATGGTGATATGCTATCACTATCAGTTTTTATTCAAATAGATTTTAAGGATATAATTAGAATTGTACCAGCTTCTTCTTTTTAATTCTAAGATGTAATTTTGTAATGATATTGCTAAGCACAATTGAACATCGAGCTAAGGCACTAGTTTTACTCTATCTGTGAATGTGTGAATTTAATATTACAAACGGAAGTAACTTGGCTGAGCAGGGCTGAGTACATAATAATTGTTATGGAATTCTTATTCCATTAATGATCCAGTATGAAGATGTGTATGCCCATGGAAGACCAAGAGAAAATGTAGCAGGATAGATACATCTTATGTTTGAAGTGCACTAGAAATTTACATTTGATTAAATTTTGGATTTAATCTGCATTATTATTATTTTCCCTGGAAATATGTATCTTAAAGTAACTAAATATTTTAAAAGGTCAAATGTAGGGGGAATTGAGCTTTGAAACTAAACAACAAAAACTATTACTTTAATTTAAGCACTTCAAAAACAGTTGTACTCATTTCATGGTACAGGTAGTCCTCCTAGAGCAGCTGTTTGCAGTTGCAACAGTAATGAGAAAGTAACTTTGCAACTAATCTTCACATTTATTTATTATATTTCTGTACCAGCCAACTCACTGATAGAGTGATCTTTGCAGATTTGTAAAGGAAAGGAAAGGTGAAGTAACAATGTAAGCACAGTTACAGTTTCAGCTAGTGACCACTTTACTTTACAAACAAATTGCCGGTCCCCATTGTGGTTGCTAAATGATTTCCTATAGTAGAATGTATTCATACTAATGCACAGGGTGATGGGCTTCTAGTTTGTCCAATCCTCATTACTTTAGAAATTGTTTTCCAGTGTTTCTGCAAACATAGTCTTGTTGCTTTACTTTCCACTAAACATAAAGCTGCTTTAATGATTTGTTAAAGATATATGTTTCATTCAAGGCCTCATGCATTGCAAAACACCTTGTTCAGATGCTTTGCACTGCCTTGATCTGGTATTTCTATTTAATTCAGTCCTTGGGTAATAAAATTATTTCATGATTTTATGGCTCTTAATATTCTCATCAAGCTGTTTTAAGTGTTTTTCATATTTCTATTCACTAATTTGTAATAGTAGATATCCATACAGGTATAATTGATTGTATACTAATTAGTGAGCAGTGGATGAATTAATATTTCAGGATTCACAAATAATTGGTACTGATGAATTTAGTAAGCCACAGTGGAAACAATGAAACTGTTATGAAAGTAAGAGAGAAATAAGAAATGCATAATTTGATCCTTATTGTTGGTTGCCTCAGTCAGTCAGAAGAAAACATTTTGCGTGTGTATGTGGCAACATTTCACTTGGATGGCTCTGAGGAAATGTTTTGAACATAAATATTTCAAACATCCTATTTGTGTGGGTCATGCATTGCATGAGTGTATTGTGCTCTATATTTTACTTATAGTGTAGGTTCTGTGCATACTCAGATATGACAAAACAGGTAAGTTAAAGTCAAATCTGCATATATTTTGCAGTACATCTTTCTCTTCTGTTTTTAACTACCTGCTTCTGTTCCATTCATGGAATAGTTCCAACACCACTAAGCCTTCTTCTTATATAGAAACTATTTCTTTCAGGCGGATGGTGGAGTTGAGTGCCTTGTAGAAATTCGTAGTATAGTCTCTGAATCTGATGTCTCTTCGTTTGAGATCCAGCACAGTGGGTTTATGAAGCAGCTGCTGCTTTACTTGACGTCAAAGGGTGAAAAAGATGCTGTAAGCAGAGATGTCAGATTGAAAAGGTTCCTTCATGTGTTTTTCTCTTCTCCTGTAAGTATTCATGTATTGTTCAGTATTATAGCGGTCTTTTCATTCCAGTGTACATTATTTACTCTGTAATAAGTCTTTTGAATATATTAAAGACAGATAAATATGCTGGTTATTTTATCCCAGTAACTACTCGAGAGCCAAATTATGAAATATGGTTTGATGCCAACCTCATACAAAGAAAAATGTCTGAGTTTTCTATTTGATATGTAAATTCTTCAGTTTAATGATCGAAACAGTTAACAAATTAAATAAAATACAATTATACTGCTCTTGGTGAACGATAGTCTATTAGAGTTGTACTGTCTTGAACATTTGGAATATAGCTTCCGTATTGTCCAAAGAAGTAAAATAATACTGCATTCTTTAATTTTAGTTCCTCATTAAGAGCTATATGAATTCAGTAGTCCCTTTCAAATATATAATTCTGTTCCATTTCTGTTTGTCCATTTGGATTATTTAAATGTTGACTTGTCCAAGCTTTGAATTTTACATAATGGGTAAAAAATTAACTTTTACAGCTTCCTGGAGAAGAACCCCTTGGAAGATTAGAACCTTTAGAAAATGCACCTTTGTTAGCATTGGTCCATAAAATGAATAATTGTCTTAGTCAGATGGAGCAATTTCCAGTTAAAGTCCATGACTTTCCAAGTGGAAATGGAACGGGCAGCAGGTAAGGATTAATGCTCAGGTAAACTTATTTGTATTCCTTGTAGCATAATCATAATCCTTGTATTATGAATTCTGCACAGGTAAAATTATATGCTATATGGTGTTTATTGTTTCTTTTCTTTAAATACTAAACAGGTATATTTCCAAATTAGTGGAAAATCTTAAAATGTTCTTTGTAGAAGTTTCAAGAATATAATATTTATAAAACTCCAGTTTCCTAATCTGGCATGATACATGAACTTCAGTTGTCGGAATAAGATTTGCCCATTTCATCTACCCGCACTTCACACTTTTGCCTCTAAAATAGTCAACCTACTGAAAAAGTGGTTGAGTCTGTGTGTATCCATATAAGAAAGAAGAAAAATGACCCTTTCTGTTATTAGCAGCAAAAGTGAATTTGATATAATTTATAATGGGGGAGACATTACCAGATAGATCTATAACCCAAACTGTATTGACCAAATATGGTAGGATAATTTAAGAAAAATACAGAACATTATATGAACCATGTATAACATGTAATCGTGCCTTAGTTTGTTGATTTATGAAAGAATAGATTTAGAAGTTCAAGATTTTTTTTTAGTTTCAAGTCTTTTGAAGTAGATGCACTTTGGAAAGAATGATTTTTTAAAAACTAACAATCATGCCATTTTTGTTAATCTGCAGTAAAGTACTTTCCAGTAAAACTTTACTAATGCAGTTATTGCAATTTCAAGTTGCATTGTACCTCCAGTATTTTAATAAAGGCATATTCTGATTGCTTAATTTTCTTAGGTGTTCATGTTCATTGACTACTAGTGATTGTACTTTGTATTTAGAGAAAACAACTCTTGGTTTGAATTTAGTTCAAGTAGATTAGATCTATAATATTATTACATATAGTAATAATTCTGAGAACAAACCTCTTTTCTCCTGGTTGTTTCCCAGTTGTTATCCATGGTTTGAATCATTCCTTTGTGGAATAATTGCAAAGGTATTATTCCTAAAGGTGTATCTGGTTCTTCATGTGTGGTCTCTGTGCATTACCTATGTGGGCTTTGTGAATCTTCTATTGCTGAAAATTTTCCTGGGAAACTATGCCAGTATTGGCATGCATGGAAACAGTCTCTTCCTCTTCGTTCCTTTTCTGCCACTTAGCAGTTGATTAATTGTTGATGATATTCTTTTTTAAATTTAATAGCTTCTATAGCCAAGAAATTCACTCATTGATTTTGTTTTCAAAGGCAGGATATAGTAGAATTTATTGGCTTTTTAATTGGTAGCTTTAGCCTGTTGAAAGCTTGTAGATTAATATAATCACACTAGTATGTTAATACAATGGCTCTTGGGTCTCACAGCACTGGTTTTATTCTCCACTGTGGGTTTACCCGTGAGAATATTTTACCAAATATGATTTTCAGAACACGTTTCAGTAGTTTATTAATCTCTTTTCATTCCACAATATAGTTCTCAGATGCAATTGTTCTGTTGCATAGTCACTGGCAAGACTATGAAAAGCCTTACTGCAGGTTTCTGTCCATTTTTGTACAGTAGATTCTGAATGAATTAGGAATTATGCATTCACTCCAGATGGGCCCTTTCAATATCAACAGTGTTTTCCAACAGTATATTTCTGTCAGATATCTACAAAGAAGCATCTGGTTAAGGCCTTTGTGTTTTGTCATATGTTCCCAACTCAGTCAGTGGGTCAGGGAAAATTCTTAATTAGGGTATTACTCTTGTTTGTTTTGATCTAATAGGAGCACTGGGCCACCACTGTCAGATAAACTTCCCCCAAATGTGTGTTGCACTGAGACCACAATAAAGGAAAATAGATTGTTTACTTGCAATAGATTGTTTACTTGCAGTCCTACGGGATTGGGCGGCATATAAATTTTATTAAATTCAAATTCAAACTGTAGTTCTTTATAATCTGTGAACTCTCCTTCCTCTTTTAAGTCTATCTTGCTGGGTGATTCTAGTTCATGTATTTCTTTGCTAATCCTTAGGAACTGGAAAGGAAAGAGGAGAAATTCCTCGACAATACTGACATGTTTTCCACCCAAAATCTCAATTATAGAAGGTTCTTGACTATCAAAACCTTAGCTATAGAAGGTTTTTGCTAGGCCTTAATGCAGGTGCAAAACCTGTATATGTAAATGTGCAGATGCCAACCAAAAGATTTATAGTTATAAATAAATAACCTGTCTTTCTGGCTATTCTGCCTCTTATTTTTACAAGAGGAAAATCGCAGAATAAAAACTGCTAGAATACCTAATAGATGAAAATCCACATGGATTATGAAAAAAAGATGCAAGAGGCACCATATAAATATCAAACAAATTTATTAAATTAGATTGTCATTTAAATTATAGTGCAAATGCTTTCTTTTGTTTTTATTTTAGGATAAAACTCTAGAAAATTCCGATATCTAACATAGATGTTTGTCAATTGATAAATCATTTTTTATGTTAGTATCCATTATAATTTTCTTAACTGATATCCTAAATTCCTAAAAAAAAACAACCCTGCTACTCTTTGAGGAATTCACCTAATTAAAAATATACCTAAGTAACTATTGGGAAGTGCTAGCTTTTAAATGATGTGGATATCAGTTTCGCTGAATGTTCTTGTATCTTCTATCATAATATGGCATCTGTAGGAATTGTGAGAAAGTGGAAGTCTATGTTGATTTTAGACTAGATTGATTAAAATCTACAGACTTTTTTCTGTAATTTGAACCAAAAACAATAATCTATTAAACAATAGGTTAAAAAATGATCTATTTGTATGCTTGCTCATTGAGGTTAAAACTAACAAGATGGGATGCTTAATGAAGTAATATCGAATTATTTGCTTCTACTAGTGTATTGTGCACTACTCTACCTATTTATTCAAAAGGAGGTAACACTTTTTAATCGGTCTTGCCTTGGGTAAGATTGTATGAAGGTGCTACTTTAATCAGCTTAAACTGTCTTGAACAGCACCTTGCTAAAATAGTTTGAAATCAAATGAAAGATATCACGTGGTGTTATGAAGGTTCTGAATTAGAAATACAAATTAAAGTACCTGTCATCTTAGCAATTGGCTACATAGCCAATGCAAAAGATGAATTATTTTAATTATTATAATGAAATAATGATTGTATGAAACTGAAAATAGAATAACTGTAGCAACGTTTTTCATAAATTATCTTGAGTTTTTCTCTTAACAGAGGATCACAAGCTTTAAAATTTTTCAACACACATCAGTTGAAATGCCAGCTGCAAAGACACCCAGATTGTGCTAATGTGAAACAGTGGAAAGGAGGACCTGTGAAGATAGATCCTCTTGCGTTGGTACAAGCAATTGAAAGATACCTTGTAGTTAGAGGTATTTTATTCTTGTTATGAATACTACTGTATGATCACAATTGTATATTATTTCTAGTTGTGTTTTAGAAGCTTGGCTTTTACATAATTTTATTATAACTCACTTAGTTAAATGTTTTAAGCAGTCTACCCAAGGTTTCTTTGCAATGACATTTTGGTCCCTATTTCATTAGTGTTCAATGGTTATATATCCAGCTATTTGAGTAATACTTTAAATAACAGTTTGGTCTGCCCATTCCAAATGGTCTGTTCATATATTATATTGTGCAGAATCAGGAATATGTTAACCAGCTAATATGGACAAATAGCTAATTGAGGAACATTTCTTATTGAATATTGTTATAACTCAAGTTAATTTTTTATCATATATAATTTTCCTTCATAGATTAGCAACAGTTTATAGTTGGATTATTAAGGATTGCATGTGTTGTATGAGGCAAGGAACATTTCCAGTGTGATATGGCAACTTTCCCTGCCCAAATTCTTCTATGCTGCTGAGATACACAAGTGATGACTCTGAATGAGAACTATTCCTTCTGTGATAGTTGCTATCTATCTTGCAGTTGTGATAGAAACTAGACAACCTGTTACTCTTTGGGTCATCTGCATAGCTTATAATGCATTTAAAAAATTCTTAAAAATTCAGGGAATATCAGAGATATATCTACTTAAAAATAGCCCATGTTAAACTGTATAGCACAATCAAATATCAGAGTTTGACTGCAGGGAATGTTTTATGATATTTCTTATTATATAATAAGTGTTTTATAATAGGTTTTTTTGTTATAAAATGTTTTATAAAATTTGTCAAATTTCAATTTCGTGGGAGTTCCTGGCTCCCAAACTTTAGACGCATTCTGTAATTTAACTCATTTGAAGTACCTTGCTTGAAAATGTTTTGCCCTATGAATGCACCATTTCATCCCAGTGGAAGGTTACAGGCATGTGGATTTTAGTAAGACATAGATTCATAATAGAGGTATATCTATTAGTTTGTGCAAGCGCATATCTTAGTAAGGAGTAAAATAAAGGTGGTTGCATAACTTCGGAAGGTATTTATTTATGCATGCACATATACATATGTATGTATGTATATACACATTATTACTTCTGTAGTATAAGTAAAAATAATTAACAAAGTTAAAAAAGCCATAAAGTCTTCATCATTCCAGGTCCATATGAAGTGCTTGATAGGTGGACAAAAATGCCAAATCCAGTTTAAACATCTGACTGAATGTGCGATCAACGATAATAATTGATTGAGGAAAAATAATTAGGAAAAAATTATGAAATACTGAAGTAATGAGAGATACAGATCAAAGTTGCATACCTATTAAAGACATGTCAATTGTTATACCAATCCTTATTGGTGTCCTCAAAACTTAAAGAACTCCCTCTATATCTTATTAAAATATTGAATTTATCTGATATGAATACCCTAAAAAATTACCCTGCTTGGAACTCCCTATATTTTAGATGGTATCTTAGTACCATCTCAGGTGCTTGGTTAGGAATTGAATTATTAAGTTTCCACCAGACGTAGATTGTAAATCTAACTTTAGATTACCCACACATAATAAATTAAAAACCATAACCCCCCCACCTATCACTTATCCCAGAAGAAGCATGCTGGTAAGTCTTCCTATGCCTAAAGCAGACAGTTTTAATTGTCTTTACTTAGATCCCTTAGTATATAGAAGCTTCTTGGTAAGATTTTTGGAACTCCCATGCTAAATTATTCTTTCTGTAATGGGTCTTTTGAGATAGAATATTATACTGTGATTTAGCATTAAAAATAGTTTTAAAAAGCCAAGGTAATTTTCCTTTTCTTTGCTTTCTTCATTGGAGAAAAAAAATTATATAAATATAAGAGCATAAAATATACTTTGCAGCTTCTGTAATTATTTTAAAAGCATTCATTCTTCTGGAAGATCCAGTGGCAAATTCTATTTGTTTATTTTAGGTTATGGCAGAGTGAGAGAAGATGATGAAGATAGTGATGACGATGGCTCAGATGAGGAAATAGATGAATCTCTGGTAAGGTACTGTTCAGTGTATAATTCTGCTTTGCATTTTCAAAAGTCGTTTTTAAAGGTTTTTCTCTCCCCCTCCCCTCCCCCACATCTGCTTTTTTTAAATAGGCTGCTCAGTTCCTAAATTCAGGGAATGTGAGGCACCGGCTTCAATTCTATATTGGGGATCATCTCCTGCCATACAACATGACAGTTTATCAAGCAGTTAGACAATTTAGTTTGCAAGCCGAAGAAGAGAGGGAGTCTACAGATGATGAAAGCAACCCATTGGGAAGAGCTGGCATATGGACCAAAACTCATACCATTTGGTGAGCCAAAGAAACGATCTGTGACAGAACTCATATAAATCTAATGAAAATATATATTAAAATATTTTAACTAATTTTAATTACTCTTAATTACCAGTTAACATGACAAAATGGAGGGCAGTAGGTTGGGGCAGATTTTAAAACTTTCTGAATGGCTTAATCTAGTGCGAAAATCTGGAAATTCATATGAGTATAGGGATTAGCTTCAATTTATTTCGTCCATTCCTAACAGGAAAAAATGTTCTGGCATCATTGTTTGGCATTATAGAACCTAAATGAACAATATACACTAACTACATGTTTGTCTCCTGATGAAAGGAAATTGGGAAACCTTTTAATGCATTTTGTTTGAAAAATAAGATTGAATGTTTCACATGAATACTGATACTCCTAAATAAGATGAAATATGGCACTCATTTCCTTTGATATGCTATTTTTATTGATTTATAATTACTGTAGAAGTAGGTTTATTTATATGCTTTATTTCTGTCCCACTTTTCACCACTTATTTTCAGATAAGTTGAGTTTACTATCTCAAATCCCCCATTAGGTTTTAATAGCTAATGGTGAATTTTATCTGGTTCTCCTGGGGGCCAGTCCAGTTTTTAATTATTCCTATCTCTTTTCAGTGGCTGATTCTTTTGACTATAGCAGTGTATCTAGAAGTTAGTATGAAATGATCATTTCTTCATACGTGGAAGGGAATTGGAAAGGGACACTAAGGGCCACCTTGGTTCAACGCCTAACCTTTTTAAACTGAAGAATAGGATGGGATTTTTATCCTCCAATAGGCATTTGATGAGAGTATCTTTTGGCACTTTGGAGTCTTGTTAATTTTGTTAGGCCATAACATGTCATGGAAAATAGCATTACCTCAACCACATGACTCTTTCATTTGACATGTATATGTTGCAGCAGATAACAGCCACCTGACCAATTTTGTCTGGATTCTGAAGTAAAGCAGGTAGTTACCTGGATGGGAGATGACCAAGGAGTTCGAGGGTTGTAGGCTAGACTAGGGCAGTTAAAAATAGTCATAGAAGACAGTGCAAAACTACTTCTGAACCATTTTCATAAAAACTACTTGGCTATATCTGTGTAATAGAATATGGTTCCCAGGTGTATACATATGTTAAATCCATTAGTTATGTAAACAAAGGCCTTTAAATGGACAAATGCAAGGGTCTAGAAATGTCGTAAGAGTTTAACTTCCAACAGCAATTTATCATGTACTACTGTATCAAAAGCCTTACAAAAATCTATGTAAATTGCATCTACAGCTTTACCTTGATGAAGACATGTAGTCCAGATGTTTCACAGTGCAAAAGTTGTAAATTAGAGGACGAGTTTTTCCTAAGGTCAAACTGTTTGTAGGATAGCAAGTTGTTTGTCTATAAGTGGTAAACGATGGATTGGTTTATAATTGATTCCATAACTTTGCATGTAACACAGCACAAAGAGATGGGTTATAATTTTCAACTGAACTAGTGTCACCCTTTTTAAAGATTGGCATAATTATAGCTGATAACCATAGATCAGGCAGAGAACTAGTTTGAAACGATACTTCAAACATTGTACACACAGGTTCAGCTAGGACGGTAGCAAGCTTTTTCAAGAAAAAAACACATAATCCATCTGGTCCTGTGGCTAGCAATGGCTTTAGATTACATAATGCTAATTCAGTATTACCTACTGCAAATTTAATATTTTGCCTAACTTCACCTGCTGCTTCCTGTCTGTTAGGTAGATTTTTTGATTGACATTATTTTTTTTATGTTTAAATTGATCCAAGGAAAAAAGCTATTACTCATAGCTTTTGTTGGGTCAATTATTTATTAGAGTGTATATCTTTTAGGTACAAGCCAGTACGAGAAGATGAAGATAGTAATAAAGATTGTGTTGGTGGTAAAAGAGGAAGAGCACAAACTGCTCCTACGAAAACATCTCCCAGAAATGCAAAAAAACATGATGAATTGTGGCATGGTATGTACTTTGTTTATTTCCTAATGTAGACTAAAGGTTGTATAAGTTTTGAAGTATATTATTTCAACTGCAATTTAATTGACATTGTATTTCTACACTTGTATTATGTAAAATGGCTGCAATGAAAATATTGTATATAATTTTTTCTCTAATGGAATGTATTTTCTTGTAGATGGTCTATGTCCTTCTGTCTCAAATCCTTTGGAAGTTTATCTCATATCTTCCGCTCCTGAAAGTATAACTTTTGAAGATCCTTCATTAGATGTTGTTATTCTTTTAAGAGTTTTACATGCCATGAGTCGTTATTGGTATTATCTATATGATGTAAGTAGTCTTGGTAGATTTGCATTAGATGTCTGGATCTGTGTTGAGCTTCATTTTCTTAGGTGTAATTAAAACAAATTTTAATTGTTTACTTTTCCATTTAAGATCAGCAGAATAATGTTAATTAACAATGTATGAAATTATTGATTATTATCCTAATTGCAATAGTATTATTTCACCACAAAGCTACTGGGTCCATGCATATCAATATAAATGTATAGTGGATCTGAATAATGTACTGTTTGGTTATCCATTCATGCTGATATTATATTTTAAAAACTACGTCAAATGTTGATTACTTGACACTTCTGAGAATATAAGAACTACCTTGGATGACAGCAACGACAATCTATTCAGTATATTAATAATATATAATAAATATCCTGTGAAATTGTTTAATACAGAAAATAATTTACATGATCATTTATCAAATGACACTCTGGAAGTGTACTTCAAAATGCTTTGCAGGAAATTTAAGCTACTGCTAGCTGGGTAGATTTGGGAAGGGGTGAAGATTTTTGTTCTCCATGTTTTGTGGTAGTTCTTTATGTTATATATGGCATGGTTAATGGGGACAGAAAATTTTATACAGAGAGGAAGTGGGAGAGTAATAGCACCTAACTTTTGATGGCACACCATGATTTATAAAGAGGCAAAGCAGGTTCAGAAGACATTTACAATCTGTCTTTGTAATAGCCTTAATACATTTAACTGTCAAATAGAAACAACTTTCTTTTTGTTACTGCAGAATGCAAGCTGTAAAGAAATTATTCCAACATCTGAATTTATCAACAGTAAGCTAACAGCAAAAGCTAACAGACAGCTTCAAGATCCTTTGGTAATAATGACAGGAAACATACCAACATGGCTGACAGAGCTTGGAAAATCATGGTATGAAGTTTGTTAATCACTATAGATATTTTAATGTGTTATTCCTTATTGCATATGTTTTTCTTTATTATGAAGGAATAAAAAATAGGAAAGTAAATACAAAATACTAAATTTTAATATACAGTGGATAGATGGATGACTTTATGAAATGTAGAAGACTGCTTGGTTTAATAAGAAGCACACATGTATATTTTAGGTTACTGAAATGCAAAATACCAAGAAGAGTAATAAGCAGTACTTTCCATAAAGTCTTGAATGTCTTTAATGTTTATGCAGTATGTACAGTTTGCATAGATATTTAGTGGTTGGGAGATCAAAGAAAACAATGAGAAGACATTGTTTCTCAGTGACATTTTTTCCAAGTCATGAAACTGGGTTGTATCTCTGCTCTCAAGAGTTGTTCTATTAAAACCTGGCTCTTCAAGTGAGTGCTCAAGTATCACTCATGTAACATAGTAACTTCAAACAATTAGGAGATCTGGCTTCTTTTATTCATGTTTACATTTTCTAGATAGAATTACAACTTTATATGAGGTTGAATTTTGCAAGTTAAAAATATCATTTGGTTGCAAATCTAGCTTTATGCAAGTCTTTATCTTGCTATTACTTAAATCAGTTCATTAATTCACTTTACACTGATTTTGACATATAAAAGTTCGGAATGTATTTGTTTGAAGGACTAACTACCGTAATGTTAGCTTGTTTGAACTTCAGAGGTATGTTTTGTAGCTTCTAAGAAAATCACATCTTTTTTTTTTCCTAGGGGTGTTTAGTTGCAATCTGTTTCAGTAGGCATTCTGTTGCCAGTTTTAAATAGTTACGTTGAGCGTCACCTTCAGTAGTCTACAGTAGTGAGCTTTAAATATTTTATTTAAATAAAAATTTATTTAATATTTATTTAATATTTTTTCATTAGCTTATTTGAAAAGTTATTTTAATATTTTATATTGGGCAGGGAGAACTAGATAATGAAAGTGTTTTCAGCTTCATGATTACAGCTTTGTAATGACATTTAATTCCAAAATAATAAACTTGTAATGTAAACATCATTTCTCTTTTTATAGTCCTTTTTTCTTTCCATTTGACACCCGGCAAATGCTGTTTTATGTAACTGCATTTGATCGTGATCGAGCCATGCAGAGACTGCTGGACACTAATCCAGAAATCAATCAATCTGATTCTCAGGATAGCAGAGTAGCACCCCGGCTGGATCGGAAAAAGGTAAATTGTTATAGGAAAATTGTCTTTCTTAAGCCATTGGATTTTGAATAGTTAATTCATTTAATTAATTTTTATGCTGTCTGTCTTCCCTATAAGGTGAAGAAACTAGAATCAAATAAACATCAGAATTACTGTGCTCATCTGCAGTAATAGATTATTCCAGAAAACAATAACTAAAACAACTCAAAGCCTAGGACAGTGATGGCGAATCTTTTCAGCACCGAGTACCCAAACTGGAACATGTGTGCATGTGCATGCGCTGCAGCGCTGGAAACTCAAAGACCAGCTGGCTGGCACCCACATGCCTGTTTTCAGGCCATTTTTGGAGTCATTTTCAGGCCGTTTTTGGGGCTGGTTTGGGCCCAAAAAATGTCCTAAAAACAACATTAAAAAATGGCCTGGAAAACAGCCTGAAAAAAGGCCTGTTTTTTGGTTGTCATCAAGGGCCTAGCATGATATGTGAATTCAGCCTATGTCAGATTTCCGTTATATGTAATTTAAATGAATTAAAGTAAATTAAATGTAATTTACATGGCTTAGAGAGTCAGTTTTTCAGCTAAGGAGTCAAACTAAAAATGAGGAGACAGAGAATTCTAGTTCTGCCTTAGACATGAAAGCTGGCCTGGTGACTTTGGGTCAATCACTCTCTCTCAGCCCAACCAATCTCACAGTATTATTGTTATGGAGAAAATAGGAGAAAGGAGAATTAGGTATGTTTGCTATCTTAAGTTATTTATAAAAATAATAAAGACAAGATTAAAAAATCTTTAAAATGTCATGTCTACATCAGTGAATTTATATTCTCATATATGATTATGATGATATTAAAATTTTAGCTAGACAATAAATACAATTGTCCTTTTCTTTGTCAATAGCGCACAGTGAATAGAGAGGAATTGTTAAAACAAGCAGAATCGGTGATGCAAGATCTGGGCAGTTCAAGAGCTATGTTGGAAATCCAGTATGAAAATGAAGTAAGCAAAGATTATGGCTATTTGTTTCTACTGTTTGTTTATCTTCCTCTGTGAGTGAGTAAAAGGATTAAACAGGTTCTGTGCTCTAAATTTCTGTTTCCCATTTTTTTGTCCACTGCCAACCTCAATAAGCACACAGATTGGCACTATTGCAGCTACAAAATCTGAAAATTACTGTTAAAAATATTTTAAAGTTTAAACTTTAAAATGCTGTTGTTCTTGACTGAAATCTTTTGACATTTCACACCTTCTGGAAGATTCTGGAAGGAATTCATTCCCCAGAATTGTTATCTCTGACATGGGAACTTTAATTTTATTTGTCCAGAATTATCACAAAATTAAAGTAAAGGTATTTGAAGTGAAAATATTTTGATTATTTTTCCATTGTGACTGACTTATAATTAAGTCTTCCACTGTAGTGTTTCCACTGTAGTGCTGGTTTTTTATGTTTGCTCCTCCTTTCAAGAACAAGACCTATGGTGTGCTGGATTTTAACAACTAGCATTTCCTGTTGCAGGGCTGTTGGTTTTACCCTTCAAAGATCATAAAATGTGTAATAGTAATTTGTTTTTCCTCAAAAGGTTGGCACAGGTTTAGGCCCCACACTGGAGTTTTATGCACTTGTATCTCAGGAATTACAAAGAGCAGACTTGGGCCTGTGGAGAGGTGAAGAAGTTACTCTTGCCAATCCTAAAGGTAAATAAGGGTCAAATCAAATTGCATTTCATCATTGATTCAATGGTATCTGCCACTGGAAAGGGTATCTGCCAGCGAAGTAGAAGGGAGTACAGCATGAAAGTTAGTTTGCTGAGTATTTCTTCAGAGACTAAGGAATTTAGAATCCAGTAAATTTAGGGTCACTTTTGCTATTTATCTGTCTGTCTTTACTTCTAAAACTAGTACTAGTGGGAATATACTGTAATTAATTGTAAACTTGCAGAATGAACTACAAGTATGATTGACATCTTGGGCTGACAAATAGTCCTCTACATTTCCTCAATAGAAACAACTCAAAGATTTGCTTGCTGATTCTCAACTCTCATTAGCTGGCAGATGCAGGATTTCTCTGCGTGATTCTTTTTAGAAAGTGGAAAAATATTATACTGCTGGGTATTGTTAATTTTTCTTGAAACTTTCCATGTTTTTAAAAACACTAGAGTAAGTACTTTTAAACTTTGTGGTTAGCTTTGAGATGTTACTAGTTTAATCTTGTTGTATGATTTGTATATAAGACTACTTTTTGTTTTGAACAGGAAGCCAAGAAGGGACCAAATATGTTCATAATATTCAAGGTCTGTTTGCACTTCCATTTGGCAGAACTGCTAAGCCTGCCCATATTGCTAAAGTTAAAATGAAGTTCCGCTTTCTGGGGAAATTAATGGCAAAAGCAATCATGGATTTTAGACTGGTAAGAGCATAACTGGGTTGAGCTTGACATAACTTTTCCTATCTTTGAAGTAATGTTTATTGTCATATATGTCAATTTCATATGTGAAATTGCAAGCTAACCATTACATCTTCAGTATTAGCTGGATATGATTTATCTTTTGACAATTCAGCTAAAAAATTTACCTTTTGCTTTTAGGTTGACCTTCCACTTGGCCTTCCCTTTTACAAATGGATGCTGCGGCAGGAAACATCTCTAACATCTCATGACTTGTTCAATATTGACCCTGTAGTAGCCAAATCTGTGTATCATCTTGAAGAAATTGTGAGACAGAAGAGAAGACTTGAACAAGACAAATCACAGGTATCCATACTAATATTAGATATGAAAGGCTTTATTTGGTTGCTTTTCAATTAATCCTTAAAAGGAGTACAGTAGAACCTCTCGTCATGACCATAATTCATTCCATAACTTTGGTTGCAACCCAATTTGGTCATGACCTGAATTTAATTTTCAAAATTTGGCACTTACAAAAAATAAGCCGCAAAAAAAAAAAAAAATTTGGTCTAAAGGCGCAAAAAAAGTGAATTTTTTGGTCAGAACCTGATTTGATCATGGTCAGAAGAGTTCATGACCAGAGGTTCTACTGTATTTCACTTTGTCCCCAATTTAAATAAATTCTTCTGGGAACATGTTTAACTACATGCTCAAAAAATAGAAAGCTAAAAGCATTTTTACCAGATGATCACTTGTGTTTATGCTTATACCTTTAGACCAAAGAAAGTCTACAATATGCACTGGAGACCCTTACAATGAATGGCTGTTCAGTTGAAGATCTAGGATTGGATTTCACATTGCCAGGGTTTCCAAATATAGAACTGAAAAAAGGAGGGAAAGACATACCTGTAACTATTCATAATTTAGAAGAATATCTCAGAGTAAGTAACATCAGAGATTTGAAGGATTTGATTGGCAGTAAGATTTTATTACTAATACTAATTCTGAATGATTGCTGACATGTTCCATGATGCTGGTGATGAAACTTCAACTGTAATTATTTTTAATTGTTTCTTTAAAAATTTGCTTTAAAAGGTTATGTGTTATTTAGTGCAATGTTTTTCAACCACTGTGCCGTGGCACACTAGTGTGCCGTGACATAGTGTAAGGTGTGCCGTGGGAAAATTACTTTATAGATAGTCAATATAGGCACAGAGTTAAATTTTTTTAACATTTTCTAATGGTGGTGTGCCTCGTGATTTTTTTCATGAAAAAAGTGTGCCTTTGCACAAAAAAGGTTGAAAAACACTGATTTAGTGAATAACAGTTCCTGAATATGCTTATTTATAAATGTGTTTATTACACTGATATTCTATGCTTCCATTGTGTTTTAATCTGTTTCAGAGAAGAAATATATTAAACTTAAAAGTTACACTATAAAAATCAGTATAAATCTTTACACGTATATTTAAAATCATAGACCACTTAAATCTGGATCAGCATAGGACAACATTATTTAGAAAGAAATGTGTGGTATTGTCAGTTAATCATGCTGCATGAGCAGGTACCAATAACTTAATGCAGAATAAATGTCATAATTGGAGAATTTCTATTAGAAATATTGCTGAGTTTTATTTTGCTTTATTATTTAATAACTAAAAGGAAACTATCAACCATAGAACTGTTTTATATCACGTAGCTTAGATTTGGATGGTATATTAATTAGTTTTCTTACAAACATTGTTACCCGTTATTATTAATAATAAATTCTTGAGTAGCCTATTAATGTTACTATTTTGTCAATGTTTTCTTATAGCTTGTTATTTTCTGGGCACTAAATGAAGGTGTTTCTAGACAATTTGACTCATTCAGAGATGGATTTGAATCTGTCTTTCCCCTTAGTCATCTTCAGTACTTCTATCCCGAGGAGGTTAGTACATTTTATGTTTGAGCCTAGAGAAATAACTTTGTACTCTTGAATTCTATTTTCTTGGTTATAAATGTGTAGATATATACAACTTGTTTGGTAATGGAAATTTCTCATGGAAAATATTTAACTTAATAAAACTAAATTATCCTGATTTCTTGGCATAGTTTTGAAATGGCCATATACTTCCATTTTTCTAATGTTTGCAGTTGGTATATATTGAGGACATTATATCTCTTACACAGTATTACATAATTCTGTAATTTGTGGCTTGGTTTTTAAGAGCTGATACTCTTCTGTGATATTTTGTTTTCTTCATAAGGAATAGGTGGAAAAAAGAAAAGTCTAGGAAAAATACAAAGCTCAATTTCTGCAAGATTTGGATAAGTGGTGTCACTTGTAGTTCTGCACAAGGGATTCTGTTAATAAGTTCTGCAGTAATAAGTTGACAGCTTCTGTACTCTTCTCTCTTCACATTTCTCATGTTGCCTCCTGTTCTACAACACTCGTATAGCTGGACCAGTTGCTGTGTGGTAGCAAAACAGACACTTGGGATGCAAAGACACTAATGGAATGTTGCAGGCCAGATCATGGATATACACATGACAGGTGACACAAATTTCTTTATAAGTGAATAATTCATTTATGAGTCAAGCAGCTTTTTATACTATATCTATATCAAGATAACTGTGTTTGTTAACTGAAGTATTCCTCTTTTTATTATTTTAGTCGTGCTGTGAAATTCCTGTTTGAAATTCTTAGTAGTTTTGATAGTGAACAACAGAGATTATTTCTTCAGTTTGTGACTGGTAGCCCTAGACTGCCAGTAGGAGGTAGGTGTTTTGATTGATATCTTAATAAAAACAAATCATAATGATTTATTTATGTTGAAAGTCATCTTTGTTCTATTTAATTATAATACAGCTTTAGCTCCAAAAGGGGTATTTATATAATTCTTAATTTGTAATCCTCCATAGTTATATTTTAAAATAAAATAATTTATGGTCTGATCCTGCTTGGATCATATCAGTAAATAGTCTGTCAAGTATAATAAACTTTACTCCTAGATAAGTATATATTGACTGCAACATTATCCTAGTATATAAGAAGTTATATGAAGTTATAATGAAAGTAATTTTGGCCTCTGATTTGGTTAATTGTATGGACATTCTCTTTATATCTTTGGGCCAGTCACTGTCTCTCAGGTGAGGTTACTTACTGGCTTATTGTGAGGGAAAGATGCTTCTTGATTTCCTGAGAGGGAAAACTGGATCTAATAAATAAAATAAAAAATGTATAATTTCATCAGAATGCCATTAGCTTGCCTTGAATAATGAGCAAGCAGGCGGCAATATATTTCTAAATAAAAATAAATAAAACGAGTCCATATTTATAGGCTTATCTTGTTGCAGTGGGGGAGGAGGGAAATGCACACAGAAAGCTTTAAACAACTAGACTTTTTGTGACAGTCACTCATTTCTTAGTTCTAGCCTGATGAGGAAGGAACAAGTTGGCAACAGATTTTTGAAGAAACATCATAGCTTCAAATGTTCTACCTTTCCTTCCTGTTTTTTAAAAAAACCTTTTACTATTTGAGGGAGCTTCCAGGGGAAATATAAAGACTTTCACTTTAAACATTACAATTCTTCGTAAAGAAAATGCATCATACCAACCATACAACAAAAATGACACGTTTGTGGAAATCTGCACAAACGTATCTTTTGTAATGCTATGGTTAAAAGTTAAACGATGGTTTGTTTTCATATGGATCCACTTTAGCGATACAAAAACTATGTAAATCATGTTGTATTCTAACTGATAGCTTAATATATAAATTTGTAGTGAAAATTGGTTTTTCCCCCCACTTTCTTCTTAGGCTTTCGAAGTTTGAATCCTCCCCTTACGATTGTACGGAAGACATTTGAATCCACAGAAAATCCAGATGACTTCTTACCCTCCGTAATGACCTGTGTAAACTATCTCAAGTTGCCAGACTATTCAAGTATTGAGATAATGCGTGAAAAACTTTTGATAGCTGCAAAAGAAGGGCAGCAGTCATTCCACCTTTCCTGATCACAAAGAATAATGCAATGTCTGCCTGTTACAGCAAAAAGAGAATCATGATTCTTTTCTAAATGTATCATCTGAGTCGAGGAAACGTTACGCCTTGTTTAGAAAACGGCTTGCAGATTATAAACAAAGACACTAGGTTGATATTCATTAAAGGCCCCTTGGACTTTAAAGTGATCAGGCCCTAAAGTTGTTGTGACAAGGTTTCTTTAGCAAGTTCTTGTTTTAAATTATCATTTATCAATGAGTGAAGTTTAACTTGCTTTGCTGTGTGAAATTTAAAAGGGATGTTTTTTCAGGCTGGAACAATAAATGTTGCTGTGCAGTTTAATACTGGGCTGTGTGTATCCATCTAGCCAAGTCTGCAGTTTTTTCCTCCCAAAGACAACTTTGTACATAAGTACAGAAATTGAAAGAAGTATTGGACCTTCTAGCTAAGTAGACTAGTTCTGTATACCATGATTTGCTCCCCTTTCCCTCCCTCATGTATTGTCTGATATGCAATCCATATGGCTCTATTTGTGTGCATCACTCACAATTGTTACATTTTTGGACATGGACATTTACTGTTCCATGTTTTCTCAAATTAAAAAAATAATTTAATTTTATTAAATATATTGTCAATAATTCCACCTTTGTAAGTAGGTAGGATGTTTCCTATAGCTTAGTTTTAATGTAGTAGTGTATATTGGCTACTTACCAGAAGAAACTCTAGAGCTGTTTACACAGTAATTTAGGCAAACCAACTCTTACCAGGGGCTAGGAGGAGTGTATGCTTTTTGTGTAGTTGAAAAACTCAACAATTGATTGGTCTGGCCAATATTTATGATGTGGCCAGAACATTTTGAATTGATGTAAAGTTTTTTATAAAGTCAAATTAATATTTTTTTCTTCCCTGTTCAGTCCTGTTTCCTTTATTTTAAGTTCATAGTTTTCTTTGAATTACTTGCCCCTGCTGTCAACTAGCATTCCCTCCCCCCCATTTGCCCACAATACTGGTATGGATCAAGACAATTCATCCATTTTTGACACAGATAATGCACCTGTAAGAAATGCTGTCCTACTGTTTTATGTGCTGATTTCTCAAATCTGCAATAATTTACTTCATCAGGTTAATGTTTTTACCTGAATATAAATAAAGTTTGCTTCACCTTTTTGTTCATAGTTCTGTACTGTATGCATAAGTTCAAACCTGTAAATTATTCCAATGCAAGTAAATCATCTTAAATTTCGTTGGCTAAGTTGCCATCTTGTCATGGATGATTTACCATTAAACAAGAGTTTGCAAGATCTAGTTTTCTTTATTTTCATGAGTTCAAAAATAGAATATTCCAAAACATTCCTGAGATGTACATGCTATGTAGTTCATCTCTTAATGAAAAACTGACATATGACTTTATTCAACTTTGAGAAATCAAAATAAACATTGGAGTACTGTTAAATTTGGTTGGATGATCAGGGTAGAGCATCTATTAAACCTCAGCAAGATTGCTTTTCAGATGAAGAACTTGTTACTACATAATGTACTCAAGTACATGTAACTGATATTCTTTTAAGATAATGGGACTGGCCACATTGTGCACCACTGAACTGTGATGAGAAGCTGAACGCGAAAATCATTATGCAAAGACATTGAGCAGTCTGTCAGATTAGAACTGAATGGAAGTACTTCACAGTGGACATAACAGACAATGGCTAGTATTTCTTAAAAACCGAAAGGCAGTGTTAAAATATGGACTGGTGTTTAAAATTGTTCAGATAATGCTATCAAACATGGCACAAAGACTCGTGTTTATAGTACATTGATAGCAATTTGTTCTTTTTTAAGGTTCTATATTTTAAAAAAAATTGACATGTAAAAATATTTTGTATTAAAATATCATCTGTATTGATATTTTTTTTACCCATGTTGTCTCCCTACAGAATCTGGATTTCATTGAATGGCAGTTCTTAAATTCAAAAAGACCTCTGATTTCTGAAAGCCCAAGTAGCTTTGGGATGGGATGGAATTGGGAGAATATTGTTTTGAAAAAAAACCTGGGCTATTGCCCGATTGGATCCATGCTACAAGATCGTTTTATGCCTAATTTGGAAATGGGAAGGATTAAAAATAATAGTGTTTATTCAGCAAGCACAGGAATCGTATGAAGAGGCCTTCTGACTATTTTACCATAGCAAACTTCAGTCTGCCAAAATGAAGTGATATATAGAAATATAGAAAACTGCATCATGGTTTCCTGAATAATGTATGTCTTTTGTTAATTAAAAAATTGACCAGTCAGATCTGTTATTTTGAAAAGATTGGTGATACTGACACAGTTCATCACTTTATTGTCATACTCTAATTTGGGGTATATTTTTTTGCTGCTGTTAGCAGACACAGTGCCACTGTAATCTAGTTTAAGGTATGAAGTATAGTGCTTTAAAGCACCTAACAAAGTGTAGATCGATTGTTTGTCTTCAGTAGTTTAGTAGACTGGCGGATGCCTCCAGCTGTGTACTTTGTAAGACTGACTTGGAATTCTGTTCAAGCAACATGAATTACTGAGCAAATTAAGGAGATACACATTTTGTTAGTTTTCCTTGCTTAATGCATATAGTTTATATGCATTACTAAATTTTAAGAATTAGGTTAAATATATAATTGTTCTGTTCACAGTAAGAAGTGACAACATAAAACACTGCTTCCTGAAGACTTTACAATAATCTTACTTGTTTTACTCTTCAGATATGAATAACACTCTTCAAACCAGAACTGGAAACAGTCATTTAGCAAACATTATAAAAGATTGTGGGAATTGTAGTCCAACAACTTAGCATGGGTAAAGTGTGCCAACAACAGCTACTCTTTCTTAAGCTACCCTTTTAGGATTCCGAACAGTACTCTGAAAATCTTATGATTGCAGCGCATTGTGTTGCCCGTAGCTATCATGACTCAACTTAAACTTTTAAACTGAAAATTTCTAGTTAGTATTGTGCCATATTATTATCATCTGTAGGTATTCTAAACTGGTGGAAACTGAATTAAAGTCCTAAGAAAGGACCTAAGAATTAAGGTAGTGTCCAAGGATAGTTCCAAATAGGGTGGATTTTTGTAAAGTGTTCTGGTCTGATAAATTTTGATATTTCCATATATCAAGGGTGTTTTTTAGATACTGCAGTGAAGGCTCCAATCACAATTAGAACAATAAGTATTTTTCTCCATAAGCATTCAACTTCAATCTGCCAGTTCTGGGATTTTGTAATTTTTTCCAGTTCTTTTTACTCTATTAAAGTATTCATTCACTGGAAACCTAGCATACCAGCTTTACAAACCCACATCGCTATTGGAAACAATGTGTAATCTCTGTAGTTTAAGTAGTTTAATATTTCTGAAAGTGCAACCTATTTTCATTCGTACTTTCCGATCTTTAGTCTACTGCTGCTTTCCAATACTGGATCCTTGATCCTAAATACATATTTCTAGACATTATTTATATTTTATTAATTTTATAATAGTTCACAAGAGCACTTTTTCATTCCATTGCTCTGCTTATTCATGTCTTTTCATAATTATTTAAAAATAGGCAAAAGTAGAAAGTGAAACTGAACCATTAATTTCATACAGTTGTCACAATGAGTAACATCTCTTTCTGTGACTCTTCCCAAAAGAACTTCACTTACTTTCCCTAAATGTATTTGTGTTTAAGTGTCTTAAAATTGCTTTTAAGCCTCTGAATTTTATTCCTAATATAGAAACAATTCTTAGCTCTGTCATAAGGCACAGTTTTGACTGCATTAAAGCAATTATGGAAGTACACAACCAGCTGCTTAATTTTCAGATACTAAATTGGTGTCTGTGCCACTTCTTACAAACTTATTGCCTTTGATTTATGCTAGGGAAACATTCCATGTACAGAAAATGGAATATTTTCTTCTAAAATGATCTTCAGGCAAAGTTACATTGATTTATAGTACCCCTTAGATTAAGCTAGTATCTTGAGCATCTCTTTGCTACTTTAGAATTCTGAATTCTAAAGATGTATTGGTTAAAGTTGATGAGATATTAGTAGAAAGATATAAAAGCCAGATAGATATTTGAGCTGGATAGATTTATTGAGCTAGATAGATTTATTGAACTAGATAAATAAATTAGTGCCTTGAGTATTTCTTCCTAAATCAGGTTTTTCTATTGTCAATGGCAAAGCACTTGCAAAATGTCACTGACTGGATGCATGCATTGTACATAGCTTTACCTAACCGTGGTTTATTGAATAAGTCACTGTCAATGGAGACAGCATACTAGGCCTGCATTATGGCTTAGGAATTGTGTAAACCATATCACGTGTTCCAATTTGACCAAAAGCCAAGCTAAAACTAATCATTTCCCATAAAGCTCAAAAAGGCTGGATTTATAAATAGAAAAGAATATATAATTGGTTTGTTTGAACTCTGAATTTATGTAATTTGTGATTCAGTGTGATAAGCAATATGACAATGGCTTAAATCAGTAAACAATGGTTAGTCAACCATGGGTATTACGTTGTGCAAACACAGTGTTGCATGCAATTTTGTTTCCTTTAAAATGAGCCTTAAATGGATGGGGATTTTATAAATGTCAAAAGCATCTTCCTTTTGAAGATAAATTTTAGGCATCATTTTTGTCATCTGCTTTTCTAATGCTTTTAAAGCTTCATTATGACAATTTTTACAAAGATATGATTTTAAGACAATAATACCATTTCTGCTAATTGCTTTAGCTACTTTGGAATGGATATAACATCTATACATATGTTTTATGTATATATAAAAATCACAACTAGTAAAGAGCTTTTGTTTATTTTAGTGTAATCTGGTTAATTGAAATGTTTTTGGCTAATCTGTTTTAGAATCTAAGAATATCTTTTTTTAGGGTTTAATCTCTTGTCAGTTAAATTTTCTAACTAAAGATATGGACTTCCACATACAGCCTGAACCTTCAGCAGTGCTTTTTCTCTGGAAGTGTTTGTTCATTAAATTTAGAGGGCTGTTGGCTCAAGAATGACATTTGTCAGTTAAAAAAACAAAAGAAAAATGTGTCTGAACAAACCATATTCTATATAGGATGTACCACAACTGATAGGGATTCCACAAATATCCAAAGGCCCTGAAGTACTGCCAGGTTTTTAAAGACTTTCAGAACATTATCAGGGTGTGAACAACATGGATCTTTGGGGATGTTATTCCAGAGGGTAGATGTTGCAACAGAGAAGGTACACTTATTATATTCTGATATATGGCATTTGATTTTAAGAGATCCAAAATACACTAACTTCGACAGCACCAATATTGGGTTAGGTACAGGTAGCCTTTGACTTACAACCATTTGTTTATAAGTTACAAGGGCACTGAAAAAAAGTTATTTGTGATTAGTCTTCACAGTTATGACTGGCAGCATCCCTATGATCATATGATCAAAATTCAAACACTTAGCAAATGGCATGTGTTCAAGACATCCTGGAGTTACGTGATTAACATTTCTGAGGCTTCTCAGAAAATCAATGGAAGAAGTTTGATTCGCTTAACAAGCACCTGATTCATTTCTTTAACAATTGTGGCAAAAAGGTCATAAAATCAGGTGCGACTCACCTAATTGCTTTGCTTAGCAATGGAAATTCCAATTGTAAGTCAAGGACTATTATATACAAATAGATTTCATTAAAGTATATTCTACTGTTCAAGAGTCAGCAAAAGTGTGAGCTAATGTGTTGTCACCAAAATTTCTGACACCATGCTATGAAAATTCAGCAATTGTCCTCTTCTGAATGAAAGTTTTCCCTTCTAAGTTAAAAAAGGTGTTTAACTACACAACATAGTTTTTTCTCATATTCTCTAATAATTTTAAATGCCATTCGCAATAATATCAATCAGTCAGACTAGAGCTGGAAGGGACTTTGGAGGTCTTGTACCCCTGCTCAAGCAGGAGATCCTATACCATTTCTGACAGGTAGTTATCCAGTCTTTTCTTAAAAACTTCCTTTGATGAAGTACTTAACAGCTTCTAAAGACAAGCTGTTCCACTAGTTAATTGTTCTCACTCTTAGGAAGTTTCTCATTTCCAGGCTGCATCTCTCCTTGATTATAGTTTTTATCCATTTTTTCTTTTATTGCTATAGGCTTTTCAACAACTGTTAAGTTTCTTCAATAATATAGCTGCATATTCTGAATACTACAGGATGTAGTAACCAGTTGTTACTTCTCCTTGAACATGGGCCAAATTATCTTACACACATGATTCATATATGAATAACATTTAGTTTCTGAATTAATAT